ATTAACGATCATTCTAACCTAAAACAACCAAATCCTAATTACCCATATCAAACAATCAAATCTTAAATAAATATTAAAGAAAAAAAATCGAAACAACTATAACTTACTATTCGAAGACGACGACGGCGGCGGCTTTGGGCGACGTTGGGCGGCGTTCGGCGGTGTTTGGCGTCGGCGTCCGGCGGCGGCGATGGTTGGAGCGGCGGCGGCGGCGTCGGGCGGCGTGGGAGGGGTGGACGGAGGGAGGTTTGAAGGTTTGTTTGGCCGTTTTTTTTTTGTGTTTGAATTTTTTTTTTCTTTTTTTTTATTTGGTTTTCAAATAGGTAATTTCAAAGAAAAATTGATGTAATTAATATTTTGTATGAAAGGGTATTTTTGTACTTTTATTTTTATTTTGGTATTAAAGTAAGAAAAAACTTATAAATATGTACTCAATTGTGGTTTTCAACTTGGTAGTATTCAACTAAGCAAAAGTTGGGATTTAAAATAGTTGCCCCTTAATTTAACCAATATATAATTATTATATATGAACTGTTAATTGCTCATCAAATAACTTTTAATTAGAGACTACTATTTATGCACTAATATGGGTACTAATATTTCTACATATGTGGCCTAATTAGTATCACTAAAACATCTTTAAGTTCATCTCTCGACATCCGTTATATCGAGGTCGTCAAACATGACTTGCCTGGTGAAGTATACACATAATTTAGATTTATTTATATAAAGAAATACAATTAAACCTCTATAAATTAATATAACCGGGACTATGGGAATTCTATTATTTTAGCGAATTATTAAATTATCGAGTAAATAATTTAACACATTTTTCACCGAGTCAGAACGGAGAGAAATTATTATTTAATACTGTTATTAATTTATTGAGTATTAATTTATCGAACTTCTATTGACTATTGCATATTATAATTTACCTATTGGCGAACTTACTTGGGAAATTTCAATTATGGATATGTGATCAATAAGAATCAATTGGGGCTACTGATTAGAAATTATTATTGGCTAGTCATAAATTAATTTTCTCTATTAATAAGGTGAATGATAAATTAAAAAAATAATTGTGCTGAACAAGCCACTAGGAGGCCCAAATGTCCTTCCACAGGCCACAAACACCTATAAGATCGCATGCTTACGCTTGGATCAGACGTTCAGACTTGTAGAGACTCAAGTGCATAATGAACTTGTAGAGATTCTAAAAGGATTTTAGAAGATCGGAAAATTTTGGAGTAATCTGCAGAACAACTTCTAGCCATTAGATCAAGTTGATCACCATTGTCCACTGAGGAGGTGTAGTTATATAAGTAGGAGTATGACATTCGTTTGTAAGTCATTCAAGAACCAAAGTATTCAAACAATAAAGTATTCTTAGCCTTCTCCAATACTTGTATTATTTCTTAAACAGTTGCACACAGTTGTGCATGCTCGAGTGATGCTAACTTAATTTATCCGCAAGGCCTAAGTTCGAGTAAGTGAGACGAGCGTAATTTGGGACTAAATGCCGCACGTTACTTGATCCAAGTTCAAGTCTGTGACAAACAACTCTAAGTCGATTCAATAGTCTGGCCAAAATTTTCTTTTACTTCATAAAATTTATAAGTCAATTCCAATCATTTTCGTATACCTTGCTTTGTATCTTGCTTTGTATTTTCCTGGCCTGCCTCAGACTTGGATAATAATATCTCAATATCACTCGGTCTCCATCCATGATCGCGTAGACTCTTTCCAATCCAATGCTTGTTGTGCTTCTTGTTGTTGAATTTGTGGAATCCAAAATGTGGGAAATCAAAATAAACTTATGGAGTATTATTTCTTACTAGTGTGCTACTATTTCTTAAGATAATTATGTTTTCTTCTAAAAAAAAGGGAAGATAATTTAGTAAAAATAATAGGGCGGAATTCCGCCAGTCCGAGTTTGAAATAAATATCTTCATTTGGTTATTCGATATTTCCATTTCTGATTTTCTTTTTATTGAAATTAAAATTATATATAATTTATTTGAAATTCCAATTTTTAGTGCAAATTTTAGTATACATAAGTATTTTTCATAATTTCGAAAAGTCTGATTACTTTCAAAAATATTTATTATTAAATTATTTTATGGAGTTTTTTATGGAGTTGTTGTGTATAAGTCTCTGACCAACTATCTTTATTATTCTAGGTTTAGATGTTATATCTCATTGCCCAATAAGCTCATCCCTTTATATTTAATACAAATAAAAAAAGTTAATGTATATATGTCAAAACTAGCCCAAACTATTTACACTCGATTCTTAATTTTAACCCCAATTTAATCAATTTTGACTTCTTTTTTTTACTTTTTTTTTTCAAAAATTATTTTTTTGCCGCCGGTTTTTAGCGTTAACTTTTCGATATATTTTTTATTCTGGTCTGTTTTTTCTGCCGCTGGTCTCCGGCGTTGACTTTTTGTAGTGATATTTTTTCCTCATAAATTTTTTATTCGTTTTTTTACGCATGCCGCTAAACGTTGACCGTAATTGTACTGTCATTAACAGTAATTATACTGTCACTGACAGTATATTAATATAATTATATTATCGTTGACAGTACATTAACGTAATTGTACTGCCGTTAAAATGGTGATTTTGTTTTTGGAATTTTCGACATTTAGAGATTTCCAAAAATTTACACAATTGGGAAAAAAATCTTGAATTCCGAAACGTCAGACGGGAATCAGAAGTTGATTTTAAAAAAATAATTACATTTTTCAATCCGATTCATCATTATTATTATTATTATTATTATTATTATTATTATTATTATTATTATTATTATTATTATTATTATTATTATTATTATTATTATTATTATTATTATTATTATTATTATTATTATTATTATTATTATTATTATTATTATTATTATTATTATTATTATTATTATTATTATTATTATTATTATTATTATTATTATTATTATTATTATTATCATCATCATCATAAGTTAAAGTTGGTGCATCGAGTAGATGAATATGTACGAAAGAGGTCAAAGATTATGGAATAAACTATAAACTATAAACTGACAACTGCGCTTAACTCTTTCACCAGCAAATCTAGTGTCTAATCCTTTGTTTGATTTTCGTTTTTCTTTTTCATTATTCCCCCAATCTTAATTAAGAGAAAAGTTTTGAAATAAAATTTGATAGTTAATTTAACAGTTTCTATGCCCAATATTCTTTACAGATTTCTTTAATCAATTTGGTTCATAACCGAGCAAGTCGTATGGTTAAACATCTATAAATTATTACATATAAATTAATACAGTTGTTACTATAGTATAAATTTAACGAAATATTAAAATTTTAATTAATAATTAGCACGTTGTCACTGAGTCAGAATCGAGAAAAAATATTGTTTAAGCAAGATTATTATTGATGTTGATGGTACAAGATTGAAGACTTTTTTTCCAAGTCCAACTTTTAGATAAGGCGAATTAGACGGACGAAAAATGTGGAGTGAAAAAGAGAGAATTGAAAGAGAGTGTCATCTTTATTAATGTTTAAATTGTGCCATAATAGGGTTCGATAGATCCGTTTATATAGAGAATTACTAATTAAGCATTTCTTAATTTAGAGTCTCTTTATTCGTCTGATTACTTTGATTGCTCAATCACCAATTCTGATTTACATGTGTTTTCCTTATTTATTTATCGAAGTTATATTCGACTCTTTATCTCCAACACCTCGTTACGTGCACGTTCGGACGAAATGCCGAGCTTATTGTCTGCGTCAAGCGACGTTATTCGGCGAGCTTGATGCTACCAAATTATCTTTTAGCGAGCTTCTGAAAAGATATTATTTTCGATGCGCATTGGGACCTTTAGGCCCAATAATCCATCTCAGCCCATATGTTTTTGTCCTTATATTGTCAATAGACCCGATGTGAGAAGTTTTGATCACCATTGCACATATACATGCTAGGTGAACGAAGCATATATATACTTGTTTGTTATTTAATTTAAATATGAATTAATGATTTATTTTATAGATTTTACAACAAAAATAGCAAACATGTGATAGGTAAATTTTAATATTTACTATGTGACATTTATACATATAATTAAATCACGACTAGCCGGATCAGATTAAGGTGGTGTTTGCAAACGCTTTTTGAAAGTGATTATGAGCTTTTTTTCGCTCATAATCTACTTTCACGTGTTTGCAAAATCAACTTTTGCTTTGCTTCTCTTAAAAAAATCTGCTTTAAGCTATTTTTTTAAAAGCACCCATAACCCTGTTTTTTCTATTTAAGTTCATTTTTCGGAATATTTGCAAATACCCCCAACTTTTAGAAATAAGCACTTAAAACCGACTTACTTCACAATCACTAACTTCTGCTTTTAAATAATCATTTGCAAACACCACCTAAACCAAAATCATACAGGATTTGTTTTTTTTTAATGTCATTTTTATGTTTCTTTTAACTGAAATGATTTGTGCAGGCACATATTAAACAATCAGGCACATTTTTTACCATTCTTCAAAAAACAAAAAGTGAAAAAACTCAAAAACTCTCTCAACCTTTCGATTTTCTTTTGCAAAGCCCGTGCAAATCGTCAACGGATCGGAGGTAATTTTTACGTTTTTACGATCCTCTTGTTATGTAGATTACGAATCCGAAAAAAAAAACGAAAAAAATCGGACTTTGGCCTGCTCGTG